AATTAGGGGTGAAAATTGTTGAATCGGTTTAAAACTGTATTAATCTTATTGATAGCAAGTGCTATAACGATATCGTCAACATATCTATAATAAAACAGTACATGAAAGTCTAAACTACTCAGCATTCTACTTTCCTATAATATCACATCTGCAATTACCTGTGAGTGGATAGTGAGGAACCCATTTAAGTTTTAAAAGTTTGTTTGTAAAATCTGTCCATCAAACGTGAAATAAATTTATTCTAAAACTAATTTGATCGGTTCTATAAATTCGTTCTTTAGAATTTTGTAGTTGATTGAAATAAAATTCCATCTACTTTTTAATTAATTGCAAGCTCGGTGGGGATATTTGTAGATAATGATATCACGTCCAAAAAAATTAAACTATAACCGTTTTTTATATGAATATTTGACAGTCTTCTGATCAAGTCAAAACTTTACGTTATTTACGTGACTAGAACCTGTCGGAAGTCGGAATACTTGATTACATTGTGTAAGAATGAGAGACAAGGTTGTAAAACGGACTGTTAATCGAAGTATAGAAAATTAGTTATTAAGAGAGGTACATGAGGATACAAAAATGAGAAAAAAGATTAGAGTTTTATTTTTGTGTAAAAATTGTGCAATAACTGGATAAATGTGATATTAATGTAAATTAGTGCAAAAGTGTCTAATTTGAAAGGCTGTGACATTTATGACACAAAAAATAAGGAAAGAATGTATAGTTTTAGGTTTAAATAACAGTAATATTTAGCTATCTCTCAGATTTTAATTACCCATTAATCGTAAAAGTATCGATGGATGTGTAAGATTAAGAGAGAAGAATTATAAACCAAATCTTTTCCTGCTATATAAGCTTAAATAATAACTTTCTATATATATTCTCGTTAGTATGGCAACTAATGGCGTAAAGCCGTAATCACACTAGCGATTGGCGATTGTGATTGACGATTGAGGATTACTTTTCAACCAATAGGAATGAACGAGTGCGCATGGTACGCTCAGGACACCGCGTACGTGGAGACGGGCGCAATCGGATTTAATAAAAATTCCAGCTCGCGAGCGAAATGTGGATGTTTGTCATCCAGGGACAGGCGTGCTGCCGCTGCTGCTGGCACTCACGATCAGCAGCCTCGCCTCTCGTTCTGTGGCCCGAGGCGATGGAATAACTTCAATAACAAACGCCAATCGCCTTCGTAGAAGGCGGCAGCGAGCCTGGTATCTCTACCTACGTGTCCGCTCGTGTACACCACGTTCACACGACGGAGGAAGACTTTCCAATCATTTTCTGTTACTACTAGAGTGTAAGCTCCTCCGTTTCCCTCTTCCTCGCCCGACTCGGTCCTATAGATAGTACGAGCGTGTAACTCTTTAATTACGCGAATAAATCTTTCTATCGTCGAAAAACCATCCAGTGTACCAATGTGAGATAAAATAAAAAAAATAAAAACATTAAATAAATAAAATATAAAATAAACACGAACGAGAAAAGAAACAATAAAAATTTTGGGAATAACTTTCAAGATGTATGTATTTAAATATTTTGGCTTTACCTTTCAACAACAATAAAATAATATTAAATAGCTATGTGAATAACTCAACTGACATAACAGGAAAATATTTTATTTAGACTTCGTAGCATTTTCCACTGGCAGAACTAGTGCAACACTATAGTGCGTACTGAGTGCAATTTTATTGTTCCACTGTGAAAACTAGTTCACATGTTTAATGTTCCATTGATAAAACTGGTGCAGAAAACTTACACTGAGTTGAACTTTTTTCCCCTCGTCTTTAAAGTCAGTGAAGACCAGTGCAAGTTGAAATTGAGGTTGTATTCGTACTAAGGTATGATATATTACATTATTGTAGTTAATGTCATAACAGTGACCCTGTGTTAGTTTCAATGTTTCTAATAATAGCTGCGCACGATGATATTTTGACATTTAATACTCTTGAAATGTAAAAATTTAATTTAAAAAAATGTTTTAAATAAATTAATCAGAATATTGTAAAATAAGTAATTTAAGTTTGAATATAGTTATATACATATATTTTTCAAAGTGTTATAAAATGGATGTCTTATGTTCCATTGAACCGTACTAAACCTGCACTATTATTGCAATAGTGCTGTTTTGATCGAAACCTATAAGTATGGCACTGGTGTTGTACCAGTTTTCTCAGTGGAAAACGCTATGAGCTGATCTTAGCGTTTAATTAATAATATTTTAATATGTGTGTGTGAATTTATATGCATATCTGATTCTGTAAATTGTATATATGCCGATTTCATTTACGGTCTTGAAATACAACCCTAAACTGAAACTTGAGATAACAATATCATAAACTAAATTGACAATTTAATGATATTGGTAATAAGCATCTTAAAACACTTTAAATAATTTATTGTAAAAAACAATAACTTTTCAATTTTATATTTTATTTCTGCTACGTTTGAGGAAGAAAGAACATGTGTTCGCGTTTCGGATGAAAAAATCAATTTACATATAATACGTTCAAATTATTCGGGAAGGGTTAAAATTGCGTGGTTTCGATGGAATTGGAATCGAATTTCGCAGAAGAATCAGTTTTTCATGTATGATGCAATAACTCACAGATTGAAATATTGTATCATATTATAATACTATGTCTGAAATATTTTGATAAAAAATAGTTAACGCGACTAATTGTATAACGTACGATCATGATTTTTAATTGTTTAGACTCAATCTTTAAACGCGTAGCAAGTAGAAATAGCATTTCTTTCGACTAGCGTTTTTCGGGAAATTCTGTTAAAAAAAAGAATTAATTTTAATTACTTAATCAAAACGAAATCGCATCGATTCAATTAAGCAAGATGATTGGAGTGCATGGATGCTGAAACTCGATCGTCCGCCATTTCCGATTGGTTGCATGTAGTGATGACCTCCTTCGTGCGTTAATATCCGCGTTATCGAAGAATCGCTGTCAATTGGCATCGCGTCGTTATTGCGCTATCGCTACCATTTACGGTGTCGTCTACCGTATTATTATTTTCGGTTATTGCAGGAATTACCGAGCACACGAGAGACACGCTCGCACAATCGAGCCTCGGCGCTACGCTCGCCATCGAACAGCTCGCACTTACGACGCGCGGTCAGCGTTAAAACTTGACTGCGAGTGCTGCGACACAGCCTGTGTGATAACATCGAATAGCATCTTAATAATAGACAAGGGGCAATCGGAATGGGACGACTACGTTTAACGCTAAATACACTATTAAAATTGTTGATTAACAGCGAAGTCGTTATTCACGTTTTATGAACGAATTATGATTCTACTAAAGAAAGTGAAAACAAAAATTTTAAATATATTTGGAAGAAACTTTTTTGAATGGATATTTAATTACAATATTTAACAAAATCTGTCAATTTTATTTTTTACATAAAATATGAAGTTAATACACTCGGAGGAAAATGTAGTGGTAGTAATTATAAAGGAGACAACTGTATAAATTTATATGTGGAATTACGCAGTTAAAATAACTATAAAATAGTTTATTCAACTGTATATATTAACATTAATTCTGCATATGAAATACTTGTATAGTTGTCACTTCTATAGTTGTCATTATTTGCTACCATTTACCCTTCTTCTCATATATTTTCTCTTTAACATCTATCTACACTTTTACTTTACAAATTATTTTTTCTTACAATCTTTATGTATTTCTATATTTAACGAAGAGAACTTTAGAATGCTTTCGATTATCATTTCTTGTTAGCATTTTATTTGCAGCGAATGCAAACGAATTTTTGTGTCAACAATGTTCATTCAAACGATACTCAGAATCGAACAATCGCATTTCGTGCTAATTAAGGCACAAATAGAAGTACCAACACTGATTCATGACATTCTATGTATCGAAACGTTGTCACGATCGATAGGATACTTCTTTTTGCCCTAAACTCTTTCTAGAAAACACCGGTTCCGGTCTCCTTGGAGTTTCGGCAGGGCATTTAGGTGTTAATTGAATGACCGTTCGACGGATAGTCTTCCGATACTGGGAAAGATGTGCTTAAGCGCGCGACACGATCGATATCAAATACATCGCAGATGTATTTGCGTCTCTCCCGGTTTTCTCGAGAACTGAGAGCGGGGCAATGAAAAAATGTGCATCGACCATCACCGTGAATATAGATCGCCATTGAGGCGATAATTTCGTCGACGTCGCCGACGCGATCGCGTTCTCGTAAAAGTATTAGACCAAGTGCACCCGACCGATATGTGTCTCTCGATAGATCGCGGATTGATAAATAATCGCGACTCGAGTCGATTCCGCTCCGACGACTCTGAAACTCTTGCGGTCCCGCAAGACGATTCCACGAAAGCCACGTTGCAAATAGATCGATCGATCATACGCACCGACGCGCTTTGTTCCGCGATACCAATCCACCCCCATCATCAAAAATAGCTCGCTTCTCTTTAAACGGAGAGTTTCGGCGAAACTCGAAGAGAAAGAGAGAGGATGAAGAAACGGAAACTCTCTTAACTAAACAAAAATTACGACAGCGTGGCCGTAATAGTTCTCCCTTCGAGGTTCCGCCAAAATTTTTTTCATCCTCGCGTGTTCCGTCAATAAGCAAACTCTTCGAGAAACGATTCTTCTGACGAGCGGAGGAGGGGAGGAAAGACGCAATCTCGGAAGAGACGAATTCCCTGCCGAGTTTCTCGGCCGATAATAACAACTCCTCTCGTCGAGAGGAATCGTGGTTGGATCGTGGTCAAATTTCGAATGGCTCTTTAATTGGAGGCGAGCTATTTATTTTCCATGATTATAGAGAGGAGGCCGGTCCGATCCGGCGCGATCGCGATCGCGGCGGATCCGGGCGGATCTTTCTCGCGCGCTCTCAGGAGGCAGCAGGGGGATAAGCAGAGGAGAAGAGGAAGAGGAAGAGGTAGGAGGTGGAGAGAGCGGGGGTGGGATCTATCTAACGGCGATAGACAAAGTCGATCGATATTTACCTGGCACTACTCCGACGGCGTGTTCCAGCGGCGGGACAACGGTGCGCGCCAGTTAGCTACGCGCGTGAGAAACTATTTTAAGAGCGCGCAACCGGTTCGCGCGTTGCGACGACCGCTGCGGGACATGTTTCCTCGGTAAGAGGAGAAATCCTTCCTCGCATCCTCTAGGAAGGAGCGTTTTCTCTCACGGTTTCAGCGGATCGTCCAATCGCCCGCCGCGACGTACGAGAATTCGGCCGCTCTTCGTGTTCGCGAGGATGATCGTTGAGGCACAGAATAGGATGCTGTATATGTGCAGTAACACGCAAAGGCGAGTCGGCGGAGATCTTGACGATTTTCGCAATCGCAAAGTAAATGGATCCACGCGTTCGTCAACAACGTTCGTCAACGTTGATGAACCGTTCCTCGCTCGTGCGGGAATCGCGCACTTGGGTCACAGCGTGTTTACGACGCAGCGCGCTCGCGCCTCTCGCGCCTCTCGCGCAAGCACATAAGTAAGCACCGTCGTGAAAACAAACTCGCGGAGTGACGGGCGTCCGTCTTCCGCGAGGATCCTTTTCCTGCTCGACGGCGGCGGGTACGGCCGCGGCGTGTCCCATCCACCGCGAAGGATGCACCCGTCGCGCTTTTACGACGTTACCGCGTTGCGACGCATCGCGATGTACTTGCGTCGTGCGAATCGCAATCGCGATCGCAATCGCAATCGTTCGCTCGCTCGCTCGCTCGATCGCTCGATCGGGGATCGGCGTCGGAAGAGAGCGGTGGAGAATACCCGTTTCTCGTCGTCGCTTTTTCAAAATTTGGCGGCGATCTTTCGCGGTACGGTGCGACAGAGAGGGAGAGAGGAAAACAGATAATAGAGAGAGATTTGTCGGCGGGTGTGACGAATCGAAGAGCAGTTCTCATTGGACTGAATTAAGAAAGAGCGTAGACCGCGAGGACCTCAGAGAAACGGAAGAAGGAGGAGGAGGAAAAGGAGGTGGTGGCGACGGCGGCTGGTGGTAGTGGTTTGTACCGTCGCGGATCTCTCCGCTGGAGGTGGAGAAGAGAAGAGGGAGAGAGCACGAGCGCGACAGGAGAGGGCGAGCGAGAAGAATGATGAAGGAAGAGAGAACGAGAGGCACTCTCGTTAAAAGAGAGAGAAAGAGAGAGAGAGGGGGGGAAGAGAGAAAGAATGAGTCCGCTGACGGTCGGATAGTTCGGACTACCGACTGCATAAGACTGGTTTTCAATTTTTTCCCGACTTTTTGTTTTACCTGTGCTGTGCCTCGCACACAGCCTCTATCTCTCTCCTTCCCCCCTGTTCTTCGACTCTCTTCTCCTCCTCCTCCTCCTCCTCCACCCCTTTTCCCTCCCGCAGAGCGTGCTGGACGAGTAACGGGTGAGCCGCCGCCGCCGCCGATCCTCTCTGCTCCTCGATCGCCGCCGGTCGATCGGCCCGACTCCGAAATCCTCGGGGACGGATCTCTCTTCGTGGATGGTCCCGCATGATGAATCTTTCGGCCGCTGGGTGCACCGGGAATTTTAGGACTGAGAACAAAGCTCGGCTATTAGACCGAAACTGTTGTGTCAAATCCATAAACTCCACACGTATTTTTCAAATTAAAGTTTTAGATAAAAACAAATGTATTTCTGATTACATGAAAAATTGTGAGGCACGATTTTTTTGTCTCTTGATGTGCAATTTGTACAATCCATAATTGATTTTAATGGAAATATTGATTAATTGGAGAGGTTTTTAATAGGATTTGCCATGCAAATCTGTAAATGAATTAGGCATGATTTTTATCTCTTTCAGACATATCGTAACATTAATATGCAGATTTATTCAAATAGGTCCTGAATATCATAGGCTTTAAGGAACATCTAGCATGCGCACGAAAGTAGCGACTTTTTTCGTCAATAACATAAATCGCGTATGCTAATAGCTTCATAGTCCGAGAAGATTTATCTTCGACAAGTTTTGCAATAGAAACCCAATATAGGTTAACGATGTAAAACCAACTCGACTTGTTTACACGTCGACTGAACTATTTTGCATATTTAAAATAAATGTTGTCTTTTACTTTCTGTCAAAAACTAAATTGCAACTATTACTAAATTAATTCCAGTTACTTAATCGTTCACTAATAATAATACTCTTCAGTAAACACAGAGCCGGCTCTCGAGTCAGCTCTCGATCAAGAATAAATAACTCTCATCGAGTTCCAGGTTTTAAGTAACTTTGGAAGCGCGAGATATATCGCAGATCTTTATTCCAAAGTGTTCAAGGCAAATTAGCGAAAAAATACTACGTTTACTTTTTATTATTTACGATTATTTTTATTTATCGCTACTCTTTCAACGCGCCAATTAAAAAATTTTCTCCCGCGTTCGATGCGATTTTCATTTCGCGTCATTGCCAAATTATCTTGCTATAAAGTCTTTGCGCGATCAGCTCGAAAACTTTAGCCGCGAGTCCTTCGCCGGGAACGTTCGAGGCGGGGTTGCGAATACCGTAGGTCGCCGCGTCTAACGTTGGTATTCACGCCCGTGCGTTTCTGCGCGCTGCCAGCAGCGGAATGCAGATGAGTGCAGATTGCATTCGGAGTATTACCCAGCGTGCGAGACACCTTGGCTCTTTTTTTGCGTTGCGAAAAAGGAAACACGCGAAGAATTCGAGCGCGCAGATAAATCCGACGCTCTGCGATTCACGCGTTGCGTAAGAGGAAGTTCACCAAGTTTGCGCATGCACTTCGGAATAAGTGTTGCGCATTACGAAACCCTTGAAAAGCTCTCGATTGTCAACAATCCGCTTATATATGGCCGGTCGTTTTAGCTGGAATTCTCAGCTTGCTCATTTCTCGCTGCTTATTATCGATCATAATTCATCCCGTTTTCCATCCGAGGATGCGCGTCGGCAAGCGTAATCGCATTTTTATTCCAAGGCTGTACAATTCATTATATTGCCATCTATGTAAACACTTCGCCGATACAATGTGTGTATAAAGAAAAAAACTCGACAGTTCGTATAGCGCTCAATTATACTTGATGTAACCTTTATAAAGACATCATAAGACTGACAAATTTCGATAGCTGAATCACTTTTCCTGAATTATGACTACTTTTTTTTTTAATCCGATACTTATCTCATTGTCAGTATTGTAGATTTAGTAATAACGTACGAAAATTAGACGTTTTTTTCACGGGAAACAAAATCTGGCTGCATCAATTGGAAATCTGGTAAATTCAGAAAGGTACTTATATTGTTAGATATTTAATAAAATTTTTAAGTATGTATAAATACTTATTAGTAAAATAGTTAAATTAAGTACTTATAGTTAAATCTACCAAACGTTCCAGGTTATTTCTAGTCAAAATAATCAGTATCAGAATTGTTATTAGGATAATCAGAATGCATTTTGTTGGTATACGTCTTGTTGATATAACTAGAAAAATTGTTTTAGTGCTTGTAAAATAAAAGTACAAAACAATAAATAATAAATATCGATGCTTGCTAAATATATTATTTTTGAGCGAAATAATTATTGAAAGCCTTCGTTGTATTTAATTAAGCGGTAAATTAAGCGGCAAATTATACCGCGAGTTGCCATGACATACAGAAAATACGTGTTTGCTGACGGTATATGTGTATCTTGCTCACGTAAGGTGTCAAGTAAATAAACATTTTTATTCGCTTGCACAGTCGCTTGCACGATTTCTCGCAATCGATTTCACAACGTTCGACAGTATATATAAAGTTCCGTCCAAGTAACAACGCAACGATTCTTCTCGATGCATTCCGAAACTCTCGTCGCAGATGTCCGGTTAATCTTTCTCGCCTCCGGACTCCCCTCATCTCGACGAGTGCGAAATTGAAGGCTCGTGACATTTGCTTACGCTGACGCGTTTCGATGCAACATCCGCATATCGATTACGAAAAGGAAAAATGACGCCGCAATCCCGACGCGGTGTGCGCGCCGCGCGGATTGCGAGGGGAGCAACAATTCATTCTCGATTCTCGCGCATTCCGAAACTCGCGCAGATATCCGGCTGACCTTTCTTGCCTCTCTCGATCGGCTCTCTCTCGCTCTCGCGCCTCGTAGAGTCAGCTATGAAATATGAAATTATTCAACGCCTTCGGTAATTTCCACGAGGAAAATAATGCGCTCATAGATGGACGATTATTGCAATCGTATCGCAATATCGAAAGGGGACCGATTATGTATACGAAGGACTCTCGGGTGTCTCAGGACTCTGCAATGATGGCTGGACCTGCGAACTTTACTCCAGCCAATTCGGTGCTCGGATTCTAGTTCGGAAGGCATCGATATATGGCGATAATATAATATAGGTGTGTGAGAAGTTTATGGGACACTTTTACTTTATATCAAATAATTATATCTCGCGGACAGAACAATTTTTAACTCGAAAATAATTTTGTTAGATCATCAAAATAATTAAATATGACGTTGAAGCATAATGAACAATACTGACTGAAAGAATTTTCCAAGCGTCCTACATAATTATTTTGAGATACTTTTTAGATACTTTAATAAAATCATTCTTTTCGTGTAGATGAAATGTCAAATTCCGATATTCCTGATTCCGTTTTCCGTTTTAGAAAACACAAACTTCGGTAAAGTAAATAATAGTCGGGTACTGTGTGACCCCTTTGCAAAAAGAAGTACTTTTCTGTGTTACAATTTTACTACAATTTTCTAAATTATAGCAAAGTTATGAAAATGTGATAAATTTATATGGAGAAATTTTTTTGCTAAATGCGGTGACCTAAATTGTATCAATAATAGGTATTTGAAATATCAAGCTACAATTTTCAATGTTTATTTGCATACAAATCAGTGCCAAATGGAAAATGTAATAAAAATTACTTAAATGACGCATAATTGCTTAAGTAGCAACTCTCCCCTAATATTTTTCTGATTTTCCCCTCAAATATAACATTATGAAACATGCTGTTTTTATATTCGAAATGAGAGCTTTAGCTTTTTATTCTCAGAAACATGAAAAATATATTACGGTGTTCTTTTGACTGCGTATAATATTTTCTTTTCTCAGACATTGTAAGGACCCATAAAAATCGTGTAGGAATGACATAATATTTTAACAAGATATTTTAGGTGATACGATTGATGATGAATGATTCAACAGGATGTCCAAACTATCACCAAAACTATTGTGTTGTTTTTATCTGACAATACTCGGAACAATTGGAAATATATTTATCTTTAGTATATGAATTCCATTTTTACTGATAAGTTATTCTAAGTGGTCGATTCCTGTTCAATGATTGCGTGAATGAGGAATCCTGTTGGCAACATGTCACGACATACCAGCGTCCATATAGCCGCGTCCGTTCTTCTAGGAACCGAACGAGGGAGAGCCATCCAATTCCGCGAAAAAAGTATGCCCGGTATAAGACAACCGCGAGATATGGCGGAAGCGGCTAAATGCTTAAACGCTCGAAAGTCAAGCTTAAATGCCGCTGATTGCAGTAGGAGGGAAATGAGAGGTTGCACGATGGATGACGATATGTAATTCCGTATGTCCAATTCTTGAAGGCGGTGGTCAGCGACGGCACTCGTTGGTACTCTAGTATCGAATATTTGTCGCACAATCATCGCACGGAGGATTTCTGTCGCGCTTTCTCTCCCCTCTCTCTCTCTCTCTCCTTCAGCGATAAAAGTGGCCATGCCATTATTCTGTCCATAATAACGTATATTTCGTAAATTGGAACATTATTGCCCGCTAAACATAAAGTAACAATAACATTACAATATCAACATTATAATTTTCTATTCAACAATGTAACTGTTAAGTACAGCATGTGTCATATTATATTTATATTATTGAGTAGAAAATTATAATATTCATATTATTGTTATTGTTAATGTTATTGTCACTTTGTACTTAGCGGGTAATTCAATTTGTTTCTT